AGACAGAGGGGAGTTTGGGGGGATGGATAGCTAGCTAGCTAGGTGATGGGTGTGTAGGGGATGGAGGGATAGCCAGGCGTGCGGGGAGGGGGATAAATGAGATCACAGTAGATGAGGATGAGGGGAGGGCACCAACACCAGTGCTGGGAAGTTGCTGGGGGGTCGCTGGCCCCCAGGACAAGCTGGCAAAGCCCAGGCACATGGCTGGGCCCATTAGCAAGCACTGAGCTGCCAGCCCCAGGCTGTGCCAGGGAAAGGCTGGCATTGCCCTTTTAAGCAGCTCGCAGGCGGGTGGAGGAGGTTGGACCTTGACCCGCCTGAGGTGGGGCTGCAGGCGGCTCGGTGCTTTGTCCCAGGCTGCAGCTGGGCTTGGCATGATCCTGCCCAGGGCCGGATCCTCCTCTCTCTCCACCGGGCTGGTGTAACTCAGGAGCCAATGCGGGGGGCAGGCGGAGGGGCTGGATCAGACCTGGGCAGTGGTACTGGGGCAGCCACCTCAAACCAGGGCTTCATTCGTATCGAGGCTTCCAGGGCTGCGCTCCGGCCCCTCTGGGGCTGGCAATTCATAGCCCCAGCGCCTCTTTCATTCCAAACGACGCTCTGCCTATGAGCCCCTCGCGGCTGGACAAGCCCCGGATCCCAGGGGTTACTGATGGGGAACAGGCTCCCCCTACCCCCAATCTCACTCTTTCCCCCCACATCACTGCTTCTTTTCCTTTGGCCGGGAGCTGTCATTCAGGGGTCAGCGCGCTGCCCTCGAGCGGGCGGGGGGCAGGACAGAGCTGAGGTGCAGGGTGTTGCTGGAAGGTGTTATGGGGCCATCAGCTGCTGGGTTTGCTAACTAGCTGTCTGGGGCTCTCAGAGCCGCACAGAGGTTTTTAGGGCCCAGGGGCAAAATCTGCAACTGAAGCCCCCCGCTACCCTGCCAAGAAAGTGACCCCTGAGGGGGAAGGCCCCAGCGTTGGGGTGTGGTTAGGGGAGCCCCACACACCCCCTGCAGCAGCAGCTCCTGCTCCAGGCATCGTGACCTGGTGCACAGGGTCGCAGCACGGCTCAGGATTGGCCCAGTCACAGGACCCCCGTGCCAGATCGCAATGCCACTCGGTTTCGGGGCCTGGGGAAAACTGTCCTGTTCCCCCCTGGGTGGTCCTGGCCCTGCATCCTCCATTTCCCCACTGATTTTCTCCAGAATCACCCGGGTTTGTCCAATGAAGACTAGAGCCTTCCCTAAAAAACCCAAAACCAGTAGGAGAACACCTCAACCTCTCTGGCCACTCAGTAACAGACCTAAAGGTGGCAATTTTGCAACAGAAAAGCTTCAAAAACAGACTCCAACGAGAAACGGCTGAACTTGAATTAATATGCACATTAGACACTATCAATTTAGGCTTGAATAGAGACTGGGAATGGCTGAGCCATTACACACATTGAATCTATTTCCCCATGTTAAGTATTCTCACACCTTCTTGTCAAACTGTCTGTACTGGGCTATCTTGATTATCACTACAAAACTTTTTTCTCTTAATTAATTAGCCTCTTAGAGTTGGTAGGACAACTCCCACCTGTTCATGCTCTCTGTATGTATATATGTCTCCTCACTATATGTTCCATTCTATGCATCCCATGAAGTGGGCTGTAGCCCACGAAAGCTTATGCTCTAATAAATGTGTTAGTCTCTAAGGTGCCACAAGTATCCTGTTCCTTTAGAGCCTTCCCTGACATTTTGGAAGAGGCTGGCTGCAGCTTTGAGAAGTTATCCCGGGCCAGGGTGACCAGGGCGTGGGGGTGGGCCATGCCTGCACGGACTTGGCGTTGGCAGCTGTCGCTCGTAACACGGGTTAGCTGGCAGGGGCTGAGTGCTCCAACAGCCGCGTCCGCACTGGGATGTAAACGCGTTAGCAGTGCACCTTCTGCCTAGGCCTCGTCCACGCTGGCGGTGGCGTGGAGGGGTCAGGCTCCGGTGCAAAGCCGGCTGCCCGCCCTGCAGTGGGTATCTGCACCCGGAGGTGAAAGGCTCTGGCAGGGCGAAGGAGCGGGACCCTGTGCCTGGCTCGGGCGCACCAAGAGCCGCGTGGGGCACAGACCCACCTCCCTCGCCCCCACGCGGCTCTTTGTTGGGGCGTGCGGGGAGCGGAGCCCACATGTGCCATGAGGAGTGTGCGGGGTCACTACCCCTAGTGTAGACATGGCCCTGGAGCCTGGCCTGGCACGGGGGCGCTGCCCCTGGGCTGGGGGGCAGTGACGGGGGGAAAGGAGGCCAGGGGGAGGGCTCTGGATCTCCTTGCTTCTCATTGGCCCCTGTGCGATGCCACTCGCCGCTCCTCCGCCTCCCCATTGGCGAAAAGCGCTTCCCCGGCCACGCCCCTTCCGAACGCTCAGCCACAGCCCGC